GGGGGTGGGAGACGGGGTGGGCGAGGGGGTGGGCGGGGAGGCATCTGCGCCGGACACGCCGTCCACGACGACGCTCGCGCAGCCGTGCGGCCAAGCAGGCGCGGTCCGGCGCGTCGCCGGCGGCAGAGGCCAGAGCGGCGGCACCGGATCGGGTCTGGTGGGGCTGGTGGACGGGCAAGCGTCGCAGCCGCTGCCGCCGCAGCCGTGGGAGAGCTTGAATGCTGTCCACGCCGTCCTCGGCGGGCTCGCTACGCTCACCGGTCGCGCGCTCGCCATGCCCGCACCCCAACCCTAGAAGCCGGAAGGCGCACGCACTCTTGTCTTCCGACCGGCGCTCGGGAGGAGGCGTACTCAGCTGTACTCCGCCGTATTCCGCTGTACTCACTGTCTTCGTGGCCCTCGGACTCGCGCGGCGCTCCGAAGACTCTGCACAAGACCGTACCCCCGCCCTGAGGTTGGCGTATTCAGCACGTAGGCCCTCAACTGCACCGACGTCGCGAAGGGCCAGGTCGCCCGCCGCTCCCCCGGCCGCGGCGAGATCACCCGAGATTTCCCGAGGTCACCCGAGGTCGGCCGAGATCAGGTGGCCCGCCGCTCCCTCGGCCGCGAGGAGAGCCTCTCCTCGCGCTGCTTCTGGCACCTGCACACCGCCCACGGACGGCGGTGCGTGCTGCGGATTGGCTCGTGCGAGCAGCCGCCCCTCGCCACCCCTGCCGAGGCGGAGGCCGCACTCGCCGCCGCGCCGCGCCCGCCGCCCGCCCGCCCGCTCGACCTCTCGAAGCCGGTCGATCCGGCGGCGGTCGAGGCGCGGTGCCGAGACACCTCCGAGACACTTCTGCGACACCTCCGAGAGACCTCCGAGACACCTCCGAGACACGCCTCCGACACACCTCCGACACACCTCCGACACACCTCCGACACACCTCCGACACTTGCTGCGCCGCACCGGGGCGCCCCACTGCCTCCTACCCGTTGGCGCATCCGCACCCTCCTCTGGTGACACATCGCGCACACACGCCCACGACACGCCGCGACGCGTCTGCCGGCGCCGCCGCTCGCGCTTGCGGCGGCCTCTCAGAGAGGTGTCCGAGCCGCCCCCGACCTCTCCGCCCCGGCACTGTCCCCGCAGGCCATCCTCGCCGCGCGCGCGGGCGACGAGCCGATGCTGCTCGTCTCGCTGCGGCTGCCTCCGCCCTCCGCGCTGCCGGGCGCGGCGCGGCGCGATCCCGCTAGCCAGGGCGTGCTCGACGCCGCGGCTGCCAACGCCGCGCCGCACCCCGCGCTGTCACGGGCGATCCGCGGCTTCCGGCGAGGCTGCTCCGACCTCACCCGGCGGTCGCGCCGCAACAAGAACGAGTGCAACAACATCTGCGAGTAGCAGGCCGGCCGGAGGCCCGGAGGGGAGAAGAAGTGGCTGATGAATTAAAAAGCCATATCTTTTGGAGTTCCACTACCCGGATGTGCTTACTCCACCGTATATCAAAAAAGATGTCAGGTGGTCGCATAAGAGTTCCATATCGCGCGCCTTTGCGGGGGAAATGAAAAAGTCAAGGTGGGTCGGCGGTCGAGCCCAAGCGCCAAGGCTAACCTCGGAAACGGAATGTGGAAGCAGTATGGCTGTGCTCGCTCCTACACAGCCATCTTACCTAAGGATGGCTGAGCTAGCTGCAGTGCCAGTGCGAGGGGGGCACTTGGAGCACTTGGAGTGCAGTCAGTAACCTCTCCAGGAGCTAAGCGCACCCAGTGTAGTACCGAAATTCTTCTCTCACGGCGTCGGGTTCGCCCGGGGGGGCAATCAGGCCGAAACCCTTGAGTGTCAAATTGTCAGGACCGATGTCCGAACTGACCTCGATCGCTATCGACCCGGTCGAGGCGGTGCCAGCTGGCACGCCTGCGCTGCAGCGCGCGGTCGCACAGGAGGACTGCGTGCGCATCGGCCGCGCCACCAATGGACAAACTGTCAAGAAGCCAGGCGAGTGGATCTCGCGTGGGTATCAGGCGGAGCTGCCAGTCACGGGCGGCTCCGTAACCGCACATCCAGGGCGTGACAGAATGAAAAAAAGGAGGGAGCATTGGCCGGAGGACAACAGCGCAAACGAGAAGGCGGCCTACCCCTTCGCTCGCCGTGCCAGCCTTCGCCTTGCCGCGCCATGCTAGGTGTCCTCGCGATCACCGTCTTCGCCTCAAACGACCATTCCTTCCCTCACCCGAATTGCAACCTCGCCTGCGGCCAAACGCCGACCATACTGAACACCAAAAAAACGCTTGGGACCGCTAAGCCCGGAGTGTGCTACAACTGCTGGAACAAGGAGTGGTGCCCATCTGACGCCGACATTATCGATCACTGCTGCCCTTTTTGGGACAACTGCTGCTACGAGTACGACTGCTATTGCGCCAAAGATTGCCCGGATCACTGGATCGGCGACGGCACGTGCGACTCTGCGTGCAACAATATTGCCTGCAGCTTCAATGGGCAGCCCGATGGCGGCGACTGCGCCCCGGCGCCACCGCCTTCACCGGTCGTGTGCGTGCCGACCGTCGAAGGAACGGAGGGATACTGGGTGCCAGTCGCATCTTGCGCCACGTCAGAGCCGTGCGAGTTCGCCGAGGAAGTCGGCACCAGTTCCTCGAGCCAGCAGGAGTCTATCACCTCGTGGCAAAACGACGTTCAGAACTCGATCAGGAACGGCCTCGATGTCCGCCTCGGAATTGGCGTCTCGGCTGGCAAGGGCAAGGCCGTCGGCGGACCCTCTGTCAAGGGCTCTCTGGCAGTCGGGTACAGTCGGTCGAAGTCTTTCACCGGAGCTACAGCGTCGGCTCTGTCTACGCTCGCATCGCAAAGCTTCCAAACGTCGTATCGTAAGGCTTTCACACGCAAGTTTACCGGTGTGCTTTGGCAGTTTCAATTTGCCGTAAACGACGCCTGTGGCGGTGCAACTATCATGGCGGATCACGCCGCAGAAACAGCAAACGCAGCTGAGCCCCCCTGCTGCATTCCTACCTTCACGAAGATCCCTGAACGCGCCCATGGCGCCTGCACAGGGATCGACGCGTGTCTCACGAACGCGGGGGGCTGCGACGAGGCGAAGTGCACCGAAGACTACAACCCCCCTGCGGGCAACCGGGTCGCCGACTACAACCCCCCGCCGGCAACAGAGGACGACGATGTTGAGATCGGTCCGATCGTTGGGGGGATAGTTGGAGGCGTCGCCGCTATCCTCGTCTTTATCCTCGCCCTGGTCTACATCCTCAAGAAAAAGCGCGCCGAAGCTGAGGAGCCAAAGATACCGCCCGTCTCCGTTGGCGTTGAGGTGCATACCGCTGCTGCGGCCCCGCCCTCGGCCTCGTCCTCTGCCGCCGAAGTCGTCCCGCCTTCGACGTGCTCGGCGCGGCTGTCGACCTGAGAACGCGTTGATCGACCGCTCGCGAATTCGAGTCCAAGTATCTCCCGCGTCAAGGGTGCTGCTCGCGTTCCAGAGGGCGTTCTAGTGGGAGCGATGCCCCGCCGCTTTGTGCGCATGCGCCGCTTGTACTCTCTAGTGCGAGGAGGCCCCGCCCGCTGTGTGCGCGCATGTGCCGCTTAGTAACGTTGGTGTCTACGCTACAGGAGAGGAGGGAGACGCCATGCGAAACGCGCGAGAGAGGGCGCTGGTGATCTGTGATCTGTGAGGGTCCGCCCGCAGGCGCATTTTGTATACCGAGGCGGTGTGCCCGGTGCCGAACCTGTCGGACCCTAAGACAGCGTTGTAGATCCCTGTTTGGCGGGAGGGCCGCCAGAGACAGAGGTTCGGTTCCCGCCATGGCCGCTCCAGCTTCCACCACCCTTCGGGTCGCCCACCGCCGCCGCGCCTAGCGCCGCGCCAATACGAATACCCACCCAAGCAAGGAAGGGCGTGCTCGCCTGCAGCTACCCGGTCTCGTGACGTGCGCGTCGAGCGCACACCCACCGCAAGCTCTCTCGTGAGCCGGCCACAAGCTCGTCAGACCTGGCGCTCGGGGCTCAGAAACGCGCAGGGATCAGCCACGTTTTTCTTTTGCTCTGGCTCGTCTCCACGCTGGTGCTCGCCCTGCCGCCACACTAGCAGCGCGCCTCTCGTGCGCTCCCTCCTAGTGTGCCACCGCGGGTGCTGGCCGGCCCGGTCGCGTCGAGCGCACCCGCCGCAAGCCTCTCTCACGACAGAGAGGGCGTGCAGGGGGAGAGAAGGGCGTGCGCGACGGCCACCCCGGCAGCGAGGGCCTCGCTCTCTCGGCTGTTGCCCAGCCGTCCGGCGGCACCTTCACGCCCATACGCCCAGAGTGCTCGAGGACCGACCGCCCCATCCGCGTGCCCCCTGTGTCCTCAGCCATGGCGCCGAAGAAGGAGGACCCGAAGAAGAGCGCCAAGAGCAGCGGCGGCGGCAAGGCCAAGAAGAAGAAGTGGTCGAAGGGCAAGGTGAAGGAGAAGCTGTCGAACCTGGTGCTGTTCGACAAGATCACGTACAAGATGCTCGCCGACGTCCCCAAGCTCAAGCTCATCACCCCCTCCATCATCTCCGAGAAGCTCTCGGGCTGCACCACCAACGTCAACCCGCTCGGCGCGCAGCTGGGGCAGCTGACGCCGACGGGCGAGTCCTTCAAGACGGCGTGGGAGGGCACAAACATGCAGCGCGAGGTCCGCGGCGAGGGCGTCGCGGGGCCTCTCGATCTCCGGGCTCCCGAGGCTGGCAACGGGCGGGCCGGCAGCGCTGGGCTACAGCGGCAGCTGACGCAGCAGCGGGAGCAGGTCAAGCGCAACCAGCTCAGCCGCAGCATCCTCGGGCTGCCGCACGGCGACACGCGGCGGGAGGCGTGGCTGGCCGTCGACTCGTTCTTGTCCGCGTGGGTGAGCTCATGGCCCTCGGCTCAGAACCGGTGCGAGGCGCGCGAGTTCCGCGAGATCTTCTGCACCTACCTCGGCCGGGAGAGCCCAGCCGTGCGCGCGCTCGCTGGCAAGAGCATCGCCTGCTCCGGCCGCGGCCCTCCTCGAGTCTGCGATGCCTTTGGCGTCCAGCTGGGCTTGGCGACGCTCAACGACCGCGCCCACGGCAACTGCCACGACGACATCTTCTCACGCGTGATCGGTGATGCGCTGCACGCGGGGCTGCGCGGCAAGGAGGAGCCGCGCGAGATCTTCAGCGCCGTCATCCCGCCTGTCACACTCAACGGCACAGCTGGCACGCGCGGCAAGAACGGCATCGTGCCGGATGGGCGCCTGCACTGCAAGCTGCGCGAGTCCCGCACGGCACGCGCTGCACGGGCACACGAGGCCAGGCGCATCCGTCTGTCCGGTGGCGCGGCACGACAGTGCAGCGCGGGCCCGAGCAGCCACCGGCGGAGCACCTTCTCGAGGGCAAGACCATCCACCGCGGCGGGCCTCACTACATGAGCGCTCGGGCGCGCGACGATGGCCAGGGCGGCGCTGTCGCCGACAGGGCGAACCTGGTCCAGCGCGACTATGAGGCGCGGGCGGCGGCGCTCGATGCCAAGCCGCACGTGCAGGCATGGAACAACGGCTCGAGGGGCGCCGTGTCCTCCGTGCTGCGCTCGTTTGGCACCGATCCACCTGGTGCAGGCTGCGCTCACACAGACTGTGGTGGAGTCGGCATCCAAGCAGCACTGGAGGCGGATCGGCGCGCGTAGCGCGAAGGAGGCGCGGTCCTACTTCGCTACGAAGCTGCGGCGGGCGTGGGGCGTGCACTTTGCGCGCGAGTTCGCGCGCGGCACCGCATCCGACGCGTGGGTGGTGTTCGTGGGGGCCCCGCGGCGACAGCCGGGCAGGCCTCTCGCGACGGCCGATGGAGACTGGCCAGCGCTGTCGGCGGGCGAGTTTGCGGCGCACGCGCTGCGCGTAGGCGGCGCGTGGGCGGGCGGCCCGCCCGGCCGTCGGTGAGCACCGGACGCGAGGGGTCGGTCGGCTCCTAACTAGCTGTGTGTATATAGTCGCGATCTGCCGGCGTGCGTATGAGTGAGCTCACAAGGGTGGGCGACGGCTAGCGCACCACACCCCTCTTCTTAAAATCCCTGTGTGGTTGGTGGCGGCGTGCCGTCCTCCCATCCCTCCCTAATCTTTGCTTTCTTTCTTTTCTTTTGAGCTCACTAGCTAGAGCTCACACTAGAGGCCGTCATCGCATTCGCCTTCCTGGGACCCAGCGCTGACTTCTGACTGTCGTTGCTGTCTCTCCCCCTTCTCTCGACTGTCTGTTCTTGCGCGTCTTGACTCCGGGGTTCTGGGCCAAAGGATATCCACCTCGAGAACCTCGAGAAGGAGAGAGAGAATTATAAAATTCTCTCTCTCTCTCTCTCTCTCTCCTCGAGAAGGCTGTGAAGACTGGGCCGGGCACGCGCGGGCTCGCGAGGCTGGGTCTCCGAGGCCCAGCACCCCTGGACAGATCGATCAGCGCGCGCGATGTGGCCCGACGCCTCGCTCCACGAGGTCCGCGACTCCGGCGAGAGAGGCCGCGGCCTCTTTGCGACGCGAGGGTTTGCCGCCGGGTCGCCGGTCCTGTGCGAGGCGGCGCTCGCCTCTTCTCCGCTGCCCGCGCCTTCGTCGGACGCATCCTCGTGGCTCGTCGCCGCGTCGCTCGCGCGAGTGCTCTTGGAGCGTGGCCTGGCCGGCAAGACGCGTGGCCTTGAGCCGCGATCAGCGATCGAGACTTCGGCCGACGCCGAGGAGGCGGAGGCAGTCGCTGCGCTGCGCGAGGCAGCCGCGGCAGCGAGCGAGCCGGCCGAGGAGGCGCGCCGGCTTCTGCACGTCGTCGCCCGCAACGCGTTTGCGCTGCTGGACGAGCAGGCGCTCTGCCCATGCGCTGCGATGATCAACCACAGCTGCTCGCCCAACGCCACGCAGACCGGGTTTCGCACGCCGGACGGCGCGCTCTGTGTCTGCGTCCGAGCCGTAACCGCCATCGAACCGGGCGAGGAGGTCGTCATCAGCTATGTGGCCGACCTGACGGCGCCGCCGGCGGAGCGCGCCCTCGCGCTGGCGCCGCACCCGTTCGGACCGACGCCGCGAGGCTGCGACCGCGCCCTCGAGGAGTGGCTGGTTGCAGAGGGGGAGGCGAGGTGCGCTGCCTACCACAGTATCCGGCCATCGTCACAGCTCAGTAGCAATAACTCTAACCACAGGACAGACCAGCCGCTGATACTCCGCCACGCCGCCCCGGCCGAGCCGCGCCACCAGCCTCCGCGTATTTCTTTTGCGCGAGCGTTTTCGTTTTTCTCCAGGCGCGCTGCGGCCGAGCCGCGCCTCCGAGCCATGTCCGACGCCGCCGACGCGGCGTGGGAGGCCGCCCACGCGGCGGGCGACGAGGCGGAGCGGCGGCGGCAGCTGATGACCAGCGCGGCGCACTACGGCCAGCTGCTGCAGCTGTCCGACGGCCTGCTCGGGGCCCACCACACGCTACTCCTCGTCGCGCGGGGTCGCCTCGCGCACGTGATGACTGTCTCGGGCGCGCAGCGCTCCTGCGCCAACGCGCTGCCGCTCTGGCGGTCCCATCTTGCGGCCACTCGCCGCTGCTGCCCCCCGAATTGGCCGCACTTGCTCCCGTGCCTGCGAGGGGGGCGCGACGCGGCTGCGCGCGCAGGAGACAGCACCGCGGCAGCCGAGTTTGAGGCGGAGCTCCACCGCGTCCTCGACGTGCTCAAGCCGAAGTGTTTGGACGTCACCGGCGGGCCGGGGTGATTGGTTTTGAATAAGCAAGACAAAACAACCGGCGTGACACAATTACAAAAAGACCTGGGCTGGAGGCAGGCGATGCTCCCTCGTACCATCACCGGAGGCTCCGGCATCGACACGGGCGTCACCTCAGTCGGCGTGCCCAACGACACGGGGGAGGGCCGCACGGGCGTGCGACTAGTTGCAAACAGTCTCACGTGGAAACCCCACCAAAAGGGGGTTCTCGAATCTTGAACCGCCAATGGCAGTTATCGGTTGTGCGGACGTCGCCGCGGCTCGCCTCTGCCGCGGCGGCTGCTGCGCGCACGCGGCGGCGCCGCTCTCTCGCGAGACGGCTGGCGACGCGGCTCGCGGCCGACGTACGCTGCGCTCGTCCGACCGCCCGCGGCGTGGCGTGCGCGGCGCTGCGCGCCGCTCTGCGAGCGCTTCTGCGCTGCTGTCACACTGCACTGTCTCTCTCTGGTGCTGCTGCTGGTGGTGATGTTGCTGCTGCTGGTGCACATGCTGCTGCTGGCGCGGCGCGGCTCTGCGACTCGGCTCGAGACGCGCGGCCGAGCCTCACCAGACCATCCTCCGGGTGGTGGTGGAGGATGAGGGGCGGCTGGTGGCGTACGAGACGGCGATGCTCGGCTCCCTCCGCTGCGGCTACCGCTGCCTGCACCTGCGCTCGCCCAGCGGCACGCTGATCGACTCGTGCTGCCTCCTGCTCCACATCTCCGTCTCCACCGAGCCAAACACCTACGGCACTGTCGATGAGCTGCGCAGCAGGGTGCAGTCGCAGCGCTCGCGCATCAGCCAGCAGAGCCGCGACATCCACCACTTAAGCGCAGAGCTCTCGCGGCTCGGAAGCCAGTCGTCGTCGCCGGCGCTGTCCCCCGCGCCGAGCCGTTGGAGCGCACGCTGGCCGCTGGAGCTAGCGCTGGATGCGGGGGTCAACGGGGCTCGCGCAGGCCGGCCGTCGCCGATCGCGCTGCCTCCCGGCGCCACGCTGACAGTCGGTCGCGACGCGTCGAGCGGCGTTGCCCTTGTCCCGCACGATACGCAGCGCATCTCGCGTTTCCACGCCTCGCTCCACGTCGCCGCAGACGGCCGCAGCGTCCGGCTCGAAGACGTCTCGCGTAACAGCGGCTGCCGCGTGCAGCAGCCGGGTGGCGAGCCGGTCCTCCTGCAGTCTACGGCCGAGGAGGTGGCGAGCGCCCAGCTGCGTGAGGGAAGCGTGCTAACCTTTGGGCAGCCCGATGCGGAGGACGAGTTTCGCTACGTCCTTCTCGCTGCTGGCACCCTCAGCAAGGACAGTGATGACTCCAGCTGCGACGGCGACAACGAAAGTGAGCGCGCTTGGCCGCCTTTGCTGACCGCCGCCTTCGCTGCCGCCGCCTTCGCCGCGGGGACCTCCTCCTCATCGCCCTTGGTGCCGCCCAAGCTCCGGACCCGCCCCTCTGGCCCGAGGCCGCTCGCCTTTTACGCCGGCGCTGGCATCTCCCCCGCTTCGGCGCCACAGCAGCGCCGCTGCGTGCCACTACGGCTTTAAAGTAAGGCACCCCACCCGGCATCCACGCACCACGGGGACGGAGTTTACAGTTGTGGAGGCTGGAGCCGACCAATGTGAATGTACGCACATGTTACAACCGAGACGATCCAGGTAGCCGATCCGCATGACCGAGATCACCGCGCGACCAAGTGCTGCTCTGCGCACAAAAGGCCCCTACTCCATCTCGCGCGTGATGGCGAAGCCCAAGACGCAGTGGCCAAAGTCGAGCGCCGCGATGCCGTTCGTGGCTCCGGCCGAGTCGAGGTGGTACCGCTCGTGGATCTCGTAGATCGAGCGGACGAGGAGCGCCGCCCTCTTGCGGGCCGCCGCGGGGAAGAGCGAGTGGCTTGCCGGCGACCACGGCGCCGCCGCCCGCCGGACCAGCGCCGCCGCCTCGCCCTCGCCGCCCGCGGCGCGCCTCAGCGGCGTCGGCTCGCCCTCGTGCAAGCTTGCGCCGCTGCGCAGGAGGGAGGTGGCGCGGGCGGCGGTGAGGGTCTCAAGGTGCGCGAGCGGCGTCCAGCCGCGGCTGGCGACCAGCCAGGCGGCGAGGTCGGCGTGGCCTTGGCTGTTTGCAATCTCCTCGGGCGTGCCGAAGGGCGTAGCGGCGCGGGAGGCGCTGTAGGAGGAGAGGAGCTTGGCGACCTCGAGGTGGCCACTGTTGCACGCCATGAAAAGCGGCGTGGCGCCGTCGTTGCGGGCTTGGCTTACCGCTGCGCCAGCCTCGAGGAGCAGCCGAACGCACTCGAGGTGGCCGTTCTGGCATGCCAAGAACAGCGGCGTGGCGCCTTGCTCATCGGCTTGGTCGATTGCCGCGCCAGCCTCGCGGAGCAGCTGGGCGATCTCGACGTGGCCCTTCTGGCACGCGATATTCAGCGGCGTGGCGCCGCTCTGCTTGGCTTGGTTGACCACTGCGCCGGCCTCGAGAAGCAGCCGGGCGCACTCGAGCTGGCCCTGCTGGCACGCCATGAACAGCGGCGTGGCGCCGTTCTGCTTGGCTTGGTCGACCGCCGCGCCAGCCTCGAGAAGCAGCCGAACGCACTCGACCTGGCCCTGCTGGCACGCAACGAACAGCGGCGTGGCGCCTGTCTCATCGGCTTGGTCGGCCGCCGCGTTGGCCTCGACGAGCAGCCGCGCGATCTCGAGGTGGCCCATGTAGCACGCGTCGTACAGCGGCGTGAAGCCTTTAGCGTCTGCATGAGCCACCGCCGCGCCAGCCTCGAGGAGCAGCCGGGCGACCTCGAGCTCGTTGTTCTGGCACGCTGCGAACAGCGGCGTGACACCGTCCTCGTCCGCCTGGTCCATCGCGACGCCAGCCTCGAGGAGCAGCCGGGCGATCTCGAGGTGGCCCTTCTGGCACGCAATGTACAGCGGCGTGGCGCCTGTGTCATCGGCTTGGTTGGCCGCCGCGTTGGCCTCGACGAGCAGCTGCGCGATCTCGAGGTGGCCCATGTAGCACGCGATGGACAGCGGCGTGGTGCCCTCCTCATCGGCTTGGTTGATGTCAGCGTCGCGCAGCAGCTGGGCGCACTCAAGGTGGCCGTTCTGGCACGCGATGTACAGCGGCGTGGTACCATCGTTCATCGCTTGGTTGATGTCAGCGTCGGTCGCGAGAAGCAGCCGGGCGATTTCGGGGTGGTTGTTCTGGCACGCCTTGAACAGCGGCGTGCAGCCGTCCTCATTCGCTTGATCGGTCGCCGCGCCAGCCTCGACGAGCAGCCGGGCGCACTCAATCTGCCCCTCCTGGCACGCGATATACAGCGCGGAAGCGCCGCCGCCAGTCGTCGCCCCGACGCTCGCGCCGCCCTCGAGCAGCAGCCGCACCGCCTCGGCCTGCCCGTGCCGAGCGGCCCAGGTGAGCAGCGTGTCCCGCCTCTCGGTGTCGTGCCGCGCGTCGAGCTGGGCCGCGAGCGACGTGCCGCGCGTCCGCCGCCCAGAGAGGAATGCGCGCAGCGAGGCCAGGTCGCCCCGAGCCAGGTCGGCAAGCTGGGTTGGGAGGATGGCGCCGCTCATGCCGCCAGAAAGAAGAAACAGTCGGCAAGAAAAAAAACAGAAAAAAAGTTCACCTCTCCTCTTAAAGGCGGCCGCGTCCTCCGCGCTGCGCGAGCCCTTGGGGAGATCCTGCGGCATGCACGCAGAGTCAATCCAGACGCGCTCAATCTTCTTGCCGGCGGGCGACTTGAGGAAGCCCTTGAGCGCGTTGAGCTGCTCGCCATCGGGGTCTGGTCTGATATGGCTGCATCCATCGGTGCGAGACTGCTAAGGTTGTCTCAATGTGGGTGCCCTTCACCACGTCGGCGTAGTCGAGCGACACTTTGACGAGCGGCTCATCGGTGATGAACTTGTCCCGGTCGGAGGTCCCTGAGACACTGAGATTGCCATCTTCCAGAGCCATGGCTGGTGGTAATTCGATGGCAGCCGCACGTGATGACTGTCTCGGGCGCGCAGCGCTCCTGCGCCAACGCGCTGCCGCTCTGGCGGTCCCATCTTGCGGCCACTCGCCGCTGCTGCCCCCCGAATTGGCCGCACTTGCTCCCGTGCCTGCGAGGGGGGCGCGACGCGGCTGCGCGCGCAGGAGACAGCACCGCGGCAGCCGAGTTTGAGGCGGAGCTCCACCGCGTCCTCGACGTGCTCAAGCCGAAGTGTTTGGACGTCACCGGCGGGCCGGGGTGATTGGTTTTGAATAAGCAAGACAAAAACAACCGGCGTGACACATGCGCCTGTGGCAGCCCTACCGCGGCTCTTTTTCCTTTCCCTCTCGATTGTAGTCGCATTGCGGGTTGCGGCGGCTTTCTACCTTTGCCGGTGATAGTACTAGCACGCGCCAGTTCGCACCTGTGTCGAGCCTGTCTGCTGTGAGAGAGAGTTCTTTTGTTTAAACTACCTTTGTTGCAGATTCGAAAAATGCGAGGTGGCTGTCGCCACACGGCCTGTGTTGACATACTAGTTACTATAGTGTACACATGGAGTGGCGTTCGTGAGTTCCCCTTCCCGCGTCAATACTTTGGGTCCTTGGACTGGCGCAGGTTGATTGCGTTCGGTTGCAGCAGTTGACAAAGCCCGCCGCCAATTTGCACGGGTCGGCCGGAGAGAGAGAGCCGCGATCAGCTGTGGAGGGGGAGAGAGCGCTCCCGACCTCAGTCTCGCGTGAGGATGTATAGCTGGGAGGCGGGAGAGGCGTTGGAGACAACACTGTAATCGTAGAGGCCGTCGACGATCGGCCCGAGCTTGATGATATGGTAGTTGCCGTACTTGGCCTTCTGCCCTTCTCCGGCCCGCCGCCGCAGCACTGTCGCGCACGGCCTGAGGGAGACCGTGAGGGCGCCCTGCGCGTCGTCGGGCGACTGCACCACAAACCCTTTGAGCCCCCACCCGAGGCACTTCGTGGGGTTCTTTTGGACGCAAAATTCTTTTTCAATGAGGTTCCGGGCAGCCGGTCGTCGTGAGAGAGAGAGAGATCTTCTCTTGTCGCCGTCGGAGTCCTCGTCAGCCAGCTCGATGGGATCGGTACTAGCCGCCCCGCGCTTCATGAGATCAGTGTTGGATGCGCGTCCGGGACGTCGTCGCGGTGTATGGGGGAAAACATTCACAGCGCCGAGATTGAAAGGTGGAGCGCGTCTCGGTCAGAGCACTCCCTCCGCCATGCTGGTCGAGCACCTGCCAACTGCCGCGACGGCGCACTGGCACAACTTCCTCTACCGCACCGAGGCCAGGCACTGGCGCAGCCTCTGGTGCCGCTGGAGCCCGAGCGGCGACCTCGTGGACCGCTTCGAGGCCGAGCGGATTTTCGAGCCGCTCGAAGACCGAGACTCGTGCACGCAGCGGAACGTTTACCACTACAGCGACGATCGGGGCCTTGTCCGAGAGGGGCCACTGTGCGGCCCGTGGGTCATGACCGCGGAAGCCTGCGCGACTGACGTGGGCATCATCCACCCTGCGCGCCAAGGCATGACCACTCTGCTGGCGGGCCCGGGCGGGCCCTGCGCGTGGTGCTCAACCGACACGGCTTCCGGGCTGCCATGCTTCGCCGAGCTCTTCCTACACCACGGCGAGGAGCTCCGCATGTCTGCCGGCATCATACACTCCAGTGAGGGTCAGCTGGAGCGTCTCGCGCTCATCCGGGAGGACGCGGCCACGTGGCCTAGCTCCGGCTGGACGGGGAGCGACGAGGCACGCGTGCTGCCCAACGCGGCTGCTTGCGTCGAGGCTTTGTGCTCCTCCTCTCGTGACTCCTCCCTCCTGCAGCCGGGACGCACCGGCAGCGGCCACGCCATCTTCGCGTCTGGCTTGCGGCAGGAGGAGCTCCAAGGCGTCGAGTGGCGGCAAACCCTGATGGCAAGAGCCGACGCTGACGCGAGCTCCCACTGCTTCATGCTCCTCGACGAGGGGTCGGTTGCACTCGTCTCACCCAAGTGGCGAGTAGCTGGACGGCCGTTTGGAAGCGCTGCCGCGTGGAGCCCGCGGGGGGGTGGCAAGCTGTACTATGTGGAGGCGTCTTGGGACGGTGCGGGTGCCGTCGAGCATGTGCGACATCTCGTGTTCGGCTAGCCAGCGGCCAGCAGCAGCACGGACCGCGGTCGCAGCTAGGTCGGTGCGGCGACGGTATGCGGCGGTCGCCGCCCACCACCCTGCCCCCCCCTGGTATGCCAGCGCCCGGTCCCTTGCCCTCTCTCGCCCTTGCTCTTCCTAATCTCCCCCTCCATGCCGTCCCCCCCCCCCCCCCCTCCCTCCTCGCATATGCTGGGCCACTCCGAGGGCCACACACGCCATACAGGCACACACATCACAAGCTTGGCTGCCGTTTACATAACAAGGGGGCGCTAGGGGGACGATCGGAGATTTGGCTTAATTCATGTTCATGTAATTGTCGAGTTTGATAAAGGGCATTCATCTAGAAAACCCCGGCTCTATGAAAACATGGAGAATAGCATGATTTGCACATGATTTGTGATATAATGATGGGTCTATTGATATCATGAGTAAGAATTCATGGTCGTGCTATCATACCCCCGCGCCGCACAGACGAAGTGCCCGCCGTTCTCCATGGCGCGCGTAGCTATGACAGGGACCGCGGCCGCGGACCCGGTGGCGGACGGGGCTGGTGCGCAAGCGCCGGCCACCGTCGTGCCGCCGGGGATGCGCAGCGGACGCTGGAATAGCTCCGATCGCGTGCAACTGGAGGACGCGGTGATGGTCGCAAGGATCGCAGGTGGGGTGCGTCGCAGGTCAGGCTGATAAGGCCTGGCTACGCGACCATCGAGATCGACCTGAAGCACGAGAAGGCCGCGGGCGACCGCGAGTCGGTGCAGGTGGCGGAGCGCTCGTACGTCGAGCGCACCGCGCCGAAGAAGAAGGATCCCACCAAGGAGCAGCTCGCGGCTCGAGCCGCGGCACGCAAGGCCAAGAAGGCCCGGCAGAAGGCGCGCCGGGCGACGGAGGCTGGCGAGCGCGCCGCGAGCGAGGCCGAGCGCGCGGAGGCCCCGCGGGCGCAGCTGCGCGAGAACATCCAGTACGTGATGGCCGGGCTGCGGACTGCAGCTGCGCAGACGCGCAGCCAGGCCGGGGCAAAATAGAGGTCGAATACTCGCTGCCCCCGGAGAGGGACGACGGGTATCGGCGCGGCCCCAGCAAGGTGTACGCCAAGGTTCCCCAGGGGACCGTGGCGACGACCGTCGCCTCGGACTGGCTCGCAACCGAGCTGGCCGAGTATGGAGAGATTGATGCGGCATGCCGCGACAGATTTGTCATGCACCTGATGACGGCCGCCGGCGCCTCGGCGCCGGCCGACGCCGTGTTCAGGTTCACAGCCGGCGAGGCGATGCAGACCTCTCGCCCGACCTCCGCGTCGGGCGAGGACGACGACGAGGACGCCGACCGCTCCGAGGAGTATTCCAACGACGGGAGGCTGTCCGACTAGCTGGCCTCACCCATATCTTACCCCTTCTGCCCCCCCCTCCTCCGACCCCCCAGGCTAGATGGAGTAGTCACAGATAAGCCGGATGAAGATTCTGCCCCACACAGCCCCTTACCCCTTCACCCTCGCCTCGCTGCTTGGTGTTTCTGAACACGTAGTCGTCCACGCTGTGGGGGTTGTGTGCGGGTTGTGTCTGGGAGAGGGAGAGAGTGGGGTGCAGGTTGCTCACCCACGGCACCGGGCCGGTGCTTGCACTTTGAATGCCGTGGGGCTCCTGCTCGTGTCCCGGGCGTGGAGATGCGAGGGTCGCCCCCCCTTGCCCCACCACTTTGTGTGTGTGGAGACGTTTACCTTACCTTACCTTACCTTACCCCCGAGCGTGAAAACTGAAAAATTATACCGACCCCGCGGACACCGCGCGGGCCGCGACTGACCCGCGACCGCCGCAGTGTGCAGTGATCATACATAGCGCAAACACACGTGTTCAGACGGAACAGGGGATCCCTCCCCACCTCACAACGTGATACACCCCATGCTGGGGAAGGGGGAGCTAGCCGGCCGGAGGGGAGCCCCATAGCATTTAAGTTGTAGCACTAGCCCCCCTCCCACAGGCACGCATTACAGGAAATTGAATGCTTGCAGTGTGGGTCGGTAAACGCGCATCCCGAGAGATAAAGTATTTTTGTCTGCTACCTATGGCTGCCACCAGCGTGCAGGGCAAATGTGTACCTTTAGCACGAGCGCGGAGTTTGCCCTTTCTTGGCCTGCTTTCTTCAAACGCCCACCCCTGCTCCCTTGGTCCTTTCTTTACCTTCGGCGCCACTATTCTTGTTTCTCCTGTGGAACGTAGGATCAACCGGTGCTCATCAACCTCCATGCCCTTGCACGTGCGAGTGGGCGCGTGCTTGTGGCGCATTCTAGTGATCCGGGACTAGGCGCTCCGTACCAGGGCCGGCCAAGGTCCTCTGCCGGTGTCAGGACAGAGACTTATGGAGGTTAGCATGCGGACGCGTGCAGACACATACATACGACAGTCTAGTTGAAGACAATAAACTTGACTCTTGAGTCCAATCTCACTCTCACACAACTGTCCTTGTCGATGCCGGATAGTCTTGCTTGTCGATAGAGATCACGGTGGTTGATACATACCTCCTGCTACTTCGGCTTGGCCACCAAAACGACTCTACTGGAAATAGATTGATAAAGGTGAAGAGCTGTGGAAAAGAGCGCGAAAAAGAATTTTACAACGAAACTCCCTCGCACGACCTGTGTTAGTGCCAGTGCGCGCCAGTCCCGTGCCTAGTGTCGTGCGCGAAAAAGAAATCCTCTCACTGGTGTGATGCGTGATAAACCCGTGAGTGGCGACGCAAGCTTCCGGCCGGCCATATCCCCGCAAAACCTGAAGCTCAACCGGCCACGCGGTTCTCATTCGAATCACACCCGTGGTGTCTGTCGCAGGGCATGACCGACTTGAGCGACGACGCGTACGCGCCCGGCTTGAGCGAGCGAGAGCAGCGACAGCGAGCGTCCAACCTCTCCGAGTCTCCGGCCCGCGGCTCTCTCTCGGGCGGTGGCGACGCGCGCTCCCTCTCGGAGGCAGAGGAGGGCTACGGACGGGCGGACTTCGGCGACTCCGGCGCCGCGCCAGGCCCCAACATCGACATGCAGTCGGTTCCTCCGGGTCAACGTGCTCGACCAGGTGCCCGCGTCCAACTCCGCGCTGCACGCGGCGGCCAAGGACGAGCACGTCAACGTCATCGGCACGCTGCTCTCTGCCCGCAGGTACTCTCCACGCGGGCATCGGCCCCGATACCCACACGCCCCGAGTGAGGAGAGTAGGCACGCGCGACGTTGGGGACGCTTGGATGTACACTACCTTCGGTGCGACTCCACACCATAGGCGCGCCGATTGCCAACGTCGCACGTAGCGTCATGATTTGCCTCTCCACTAGCCGTAGCAGCCTGTCTGTCTGGGTGGAGAGGGCTGTAGGCGCGCGACGTTGGGGACGACTGTACACTACCTTCGGTGCGAGCCACACCATAGGCGCGCCGATTGCCAACGCCGCATGTAGCGTCATGATTTGCCTCTCCACTAGCCGTAGCAGCCTGTCTGTCTGGGTGGAGAGGGCTGTAGGCGCGCGACGTTGGGGACGACTGTACACTACCTTCGGTGCGAGCCACACCATAGGCGCGCCGATTGCCAACGTCGCACGTAGCGTCATGATTTGCCTCTCCACTAGCCGTAGCAGCCTGTCTGTCTGGGTGGAGAGGGCTGTAGGCGCGCGACGTTGGGGACGACTGTACACTACCTTCGGTGCGAGCCACACCATAGGCGCGCCGATTGCCAACGCCGCATGTAGAGTCATGATAGACGCTTTGCCTCTCCACTAGTCGTAGCAGCCTGTCTGAAGTCGCGGCGCCGGTGCCCTCGCATGTGCTCTGCTGTACTAGCCATGTTCGTTGCGCCCGCGTGTACAGTAGAAGCGCGCGCAGCTATATACATTTTTGCCGTAGTAACCGGCCAAACAAATATCGCTCCGGGCTCCGAGCGGCTAGCGTGATTTCTTTGTGTTAAATCGCAAGTGTGATTTCAAGAGCGTGATCTTTGTGTGAAATCGCAAGGTGTGATTTCAAGAGCGTGAAAATGACGTGCCGAGCTTTGAGATATCATGACTCCATAATGTCATGGCGAAAACCATGATATGATGCAAGCGGGGAAATCCTGATGATTTGGCGGGTTTATTTTCGCGATTTCATTAGACGAATGCGATTGCGAGGACTCGTGTCTGTCGCGATACCGCCATCGTCGCCAGGGCCTTCCCTGACCCCCTCTCCAGCGGCGCTCGCGCTGCCAGCGCGGGCCGCGGCCTCGGCGAGTTTGCGCCGCTGGGTTGTTGCACGAGTATATGGGCCACGATGTCTCAAATATGAGGGGTTTTGACTCCTACCGGCTCCTGACGCTATCCCTGGCAGCTCTGATGACCAGGATCAGTAGTGTTGTGATGGAGGGTGCCCATACTAGCGCAGGAGCTGCCACACTCGCCCTCACCGTCCCCTTATGGGGCCGGTTCCGCAGCCCGCGAGAGCCGACAGCGGGGCTGTGCCGCGGGTGCCTACTGCCGAGTGCCACAAACACTGCGCCGTCCCGCCATCACCTACAGGCTGTCTTGTGTGATGGTTGGGATGTCCAAACGCCACCATCTTGGCTCTTGCGACCTCAAACCCGCGAGCTGTATGGGTGGTCCTGACGTCGACAGACGCCCGATGACCACGGTGAAGCTGAGATGGAACGAGTCGACAAGTCTCGTCTGAGCCCGTGGCGGTCGCCGGCTGAGTCGCCGTGCACGGGCCGGTACCTCAGGCGTCACCTCCGCAGCCTCAGTTCTCAAACTCCACCACCTCCGCCAGGACGCCGTCGGTGGCACGTTCGGCGGCGTACTTTCTGCAGCTCCATCTCGAGTACGGCGTCGAGCCTACTCACTCCTGTTGGATACACGCACTCCCTGGGACCCAGGGAGTGCACAGATCCAGCAAGCGGTGCGTCCCGGCAGCGCGCGCAGGCTGCGGAGCTGCAACAAACTGAGACGCTTTTTTCGGACATTTTCGACGCTTTTGGCCTATATACTCGTGCAACAACCCCGCTCGCCGTCGTCCTGTTCGCCAAGGCCACCGCTGCGCCAAAGCCGCCGCCGGGTGTCGGCCTTCCCGTCGTGCTGCTCGCCGCTACGTTCAATCGCTGCGCTGGTGCTGCCGGCCGAGCCCACCTCGATCGCGCCCGATGACAGCTCAACGGCGGCGGCTTGTTACTGATAGGACTGAGCCAGGAGAACGGCAGGGAAGTCGAGGAAGGTGGTGAGCTGAGAGGCTGGAGAGTCGGCCCGCCTGCCTCCTCGACCTCCCCACGGACCTCCTGTGCGCGTCGTCTCTCGCTGCGACCCCGCCGAGACATCGCTCGCGTCGCAGCCAAGAGCGCGGCTTCGAGCTGCCGGCGCAGCTAGAGGGCGAGGGCTGCGCCGTGCGGTGGCTGTGCTATTCGGCGCTGCTGTGCGAGTCCAACCCGCCAGCGAGGGCGGCGGCCGGCGATCGGCACAGCCTCTTCATCGACGGTGAGGGGCGGCTCTCGTCGTGCGGCTCGGCGCCGCACTACAACCTAGGGCTACTCGGCCACGGCGAGGGCGTGACGCGAGGCGCTTCGCAGTGGCGGCCGCAAGGCGCCCTCCAAAGGCAACAAGGTCGGAAGACGCAATAACCACAAATGCTGGCGAGAGGCGATCCGTTTTGTCGCCGTCAGCCAACCAGGGGCCGGCGCCTTCCTCAACGCCATCCCCATGCGTGATGATATGAAGATCATGGAGTCCTGCGTGGGCGATGCGCGTCACCGTTCAGCGCCGCCTTGGGCTCCCCCTTGATGTCGCCTGCCAGGCGGTGGAGGCAGGCAAGAGGGCACCCAGCGGCCAGCTACACGACGTCCTTGGCGACGCCGCGATGGTTAACCCTCGGTCAAAGCATGCTACAAGACACAAATTCCTACTCAAACCTTTGATCAAATGCCTCCGCTCGGCGTGGGGCATGATCATCGAGATGGAGCCGACTGCACACCTCAGTTACAGTAATCCAAAACAACCTGACGTGGCGGCGGCAAACATCGGCAGGGGGCACAGGCGCCCTGTTGCCGATTTGAAGCTCACGAGCTTGCTTGCGAGCAAGGGCAAGGACGCGGCCGGCGACGGAGAGCTCGGCTGGAAGGGGGCGTATGTTCGCTTCGGCAACACGGAGCCCGGGCTGCTCAATCTGGTCAAAGGGCGCGGCAAGTGGTCTCCGTCGGGAGCGACGGCAGCGGCGGTGGCGGAGGAGGAGGACGAGGAGGAGGGGGAGGGGGAGGAGGAGGAGGAGGAGGATGCCCCCAAGGGAAAGCTCCAGCAGCTGCCTGGCGATTACCGCTTTGCGCGGGAGCAATAAATAAATAAAGAAAACGGTCAAACTCTGAGACGAGATGGGATTTAGGGACGTGTGTCCCCATTTGCGCGGGAGCAGGATTGCGATCTACGTTTGTTTGATTTTGAGGCTTTCGGAGGCTTTGGAAAGGAGGTTCGCAGCACCCTGAGTGTGTGTGCCAGTCCGCGCCAGTCCGCGCCCTTGTCGTGCCAGTGTGCTAAGAAAGAAAGAAAACACACAACCCAAGGGAGGGATGGGAGAACGGCACGCCGCCACCACACAGGGATTTTAAGTGAGAGGCTTGTACCTCAAGAATTCTTTTCTTCGGCGAGAGAACTTCATTTTTTGAATTCTTTTCTTCGCGATGTCCACCCCGCCGCGCCGCTCGCGCCGCTCGCGCCGCCTCGCCCCCGCCGCCACAGCCGCTCCCTCGCCAGACACGCCGCCGCCCGCCCGCCTCCTCGACCTCCCCACGGACCTCCTCGTGCGCGTCGTCTCTCGCTGCGACCCCGTCGACATCGCTCGCGCCGCAGCCGTCTCGCTTCTCTTCCACGCCTCGCTTGCGGTGGAGGGCATCCGCTTGCGGGCGCAAGAGCGCGGCTACGAGCTGCCGGCGCAGCCAGAGGGCGAGAGGTGCGCCGTGCGGTGGCTGTGCGTTTCGGCGCTGCTGTGCGAGTCCAACCCGCCGGCGAGGGCGGCGGCAGGCCTTCATCACAGCCTCTTCATCGACGGCGAGGGGCGCCTCTCGTCGTGCGGCTCAGCGCTGTCATACTCTCCAGCCCTGCTGGGTCACGGCGAGGGCGTGACGCGGCTCAACTCTCCGACCCGCTTCCCGTCGACGCTGGGCGGCGAGCGCGCCGTGAGCGTGTCGGCAGCAGTCAACCACAGCCTCGCCCTCACTGCCGGCGGGGCCGTCTGGAGCTGGGGCAACGGTCTCTTGGGCCCGCTGGGCCACGGCGACGAGGAGGAGCAGTGGCAGCCAAAGAAAGTCGAGGCCTTGATTGGCCAGCGCGTCGTCGCCGTGTCGGCTGGAGGTCTGCACAGCCTCGCAATAACTGCCGATGGAGCCGTCCGGAGCTGGGGCCATGGAGGCGAAGGCCGGTTGGGCCACGGCGACGAGCAGTACCAGCTGGAGCCCAAGAAGGTCGAGGCCTTTGCTGGCCAGCACGTCGTCGCAGTGTCGGCTGGGTGGCAGCACAGCCTCGCCCTTACCGCCGACGGCGCCGTCTGGAGCTGGGGCAGTGGAGTCTTTGGCAAGCTGGGCCACGGCGACGAGCAGCGCCAGCTGCTGCCAAAGAAGGTCGAGGCGTTGGCTGGCCAGCGCGTCGTCGCTGTGTCGACTGGAGCCGAGCACAACCTCGCCCTCACCGCCGACGGCGCCGTTTGGTCCTGGGGCAGGGGAGGCTTGGGCCAGTTGGGCCACGGCGACCGGCAGCAGCAGCTGCTGCCCAAGAAGGTCGAGGCGTTGGCTGGGCGGCGCGTCGTCGCTGTCTCGCCTGGAGATGCCCACAGCCTCGCCCTCACCGCCGATGGCGCCGTCTGGAGCTGGGGCGGACGACACGGCCTGCTAGGCCACGGCGACGAGCAGCGCCAGCTGCTGCCGAAGAAGATCGAGGCCTTTGCTGGCCAGCGCGTCGTCGCTGTGTCGGCGGGAGATGTGCACAGCTTCGCCATCACCGCCGGCGGCGCCGTCTTCGCCTGGGGCAAGGGCGACGACGGCTGCCTAGGCCACGGAGATGACCTGTCGAACCAGCTGCTGCCCAAGAAGGTCGAGGCGTGGGCGCCGGGGCAGTGATGCAAGGCAAGTTTCCACTCCGCGGGCGTTTGTCGAACAGGTGTGTGTGCGTGCGAGGCGGCAAGGAGCCGAGGGAGAGCCCCGCCAGTATTTCTTTGTTAGTGCCAGTGCGCGCCAGTCCCGTGCCCAGTGTCGTGCGAGGGAGGGTGGTAAAATTCTGTTTGAGCTACGGCTTTAGACTTCGATGTTAATAGAAACAAGCGTCAACGCAAGCCAGAGGTACACACAACATGACGCCAAACACACGATTGCACACACCGCACCGCCCCCCGCCCCCCGCGACTGCCGCGCCTAGGTGGGAAGGATATGAGGAGAAAAAGAAAGAAAGAAAACGGACAAGCCAAGCGCCAAGGGAGGGATGGGATATACGACAGCGAAGAAAAGGAATCATTTTTCTTTTTCCGGAAGATGAATTTTCCATTCCATCACGCTCCTCTGCTTCGGTGGCGCGGGGCTCGGTGTCCTATCCGAGCGATGCCAAAGCCTCTCGCGCCAGGCCCGGTCGCCCTCCCGCTCGTGGGCGCCCTCCCACAGATCGGGCTCGGCATGCTCGCGCCCGGCGTCGCCGAGCAGCCGCACCGGCGCCTCGCTGCACTGTCGCAAACGTATGGCGACGTGATGACGGTCAACTTTGGGCGGGAGCCCTGGCTGGTCCTCTCCTCGCCCGAAGCTGTTCACGAGGCATTTGTGACCAAGGGCGGCGATTTCGCCGGCCGGCCTCAGGTGGCGTCCATGTCGCTCTCCGCGGGAAGCGGCAGGGCCGGCTTTGGCCGACCGCTGCCGGACGCGGGGCTTCGCGAGCTGCGCAGGGCCGCGTACTCAACGCTCTTCTCGGACGAGGCGGTCGCCGCCAAGCAGTCCGAACTCGAGGCGGAGGCGCACCTGCTCTCCGACCATCTCCTCGCCACGAGCGGGACAGGCGAGCCTCTCCGGCCGTCGCTGCGCCGGTGCGTCGGGAACATGGTGCTGCGCTTCGCCTTCTCGTCTCGCGTCCCGTACGCGAGCGAGGAGGGGGCCGCCGCGCCGCCCGCCCCAATCGCAGAGCTGCTGCGCCTGACCGAGGCAATCTGGGACAGCCTCGCCGCCACGCCCACGACCGTGCTCGACCTGCTCGGTGTCCTAGACGCCGAATACGTATTCATGTACCCCAACCAGCACTCGAGAGGACGCGTACTCAGCCGTAATCCGCTGTATTCAGCTGTGTGCAGCTGTATTCACTGTCTTCCTCTCCGTTGTATTCACGCAGTGCTCTGAATACACTGCACAATACCGTCTCCACGCCCTCATGTCGGCGTACTTCCACGTAGGCTCGGTGTGCCGTCCGACAACGCCGCACGCGAGCCGCTGAGGCGGCTCGTCGGCCAGAGAGACGCCGTGCTCCGGCAAGTCATCGCCGACCGGCGGGCGCAGCGGCGAGGGAGCGCCAGCGTCGCAGCCGCGTCGCCAGCGTCAGACATGCTCGACGTGCTCCTCGCATCCGACCGTAGAAGCGGAAGAGACGTACTCTAGTAGTCCGACCGGCGATCGAGAGGACACGGGTGCAGCTGTACTCTCATCTCCGTTCCTCTGCATTCACTGCATTCGCCTCCCTCGTCTTCGCGCGGTGCTCTGAACACACACTGCACAAGACGGTCTTCCCGCCCTGAGGTTGGTGGGTTCACAAGGCAGGTCTCCGACGGGGGGGTGTCCACCTAGCCTAACCCAGATCGTACCTTGCCTTACCTTAGGCCTCCGACCTGCCCGAGGCAGATGTGCTCTACGCGCTCGTCGATTTGTTCGTCGCGGGCGAGATCACCCGAGATCACCCGAGGTCACCCGAGGTCACCCGAGGTCACCCGAGGTCACCCGAGATCACCCGAGATTGTTTGTCGCGGGCGAGCCGCCACGCCACGTACACGCCACCCGCCTGCCACCCGCACCCGCACCTGCACCCCACCCGCCCTTTGCACCTGCACCCCACCCGCCCTCTGCACCTGCACCCCGAACCTGCACCCCACCCACAACGCGCCGTGTCTCCGCGCGCCGCAGGCGTCAGCACGGTCTCGACAACGCTCGAGTGGCGCCTCCTCCTAGATGGGGACCCGAACCCACCCCCCTACCCCCCTAGTAGCCGAACCTCTCGAGCGCCGCGTTGGTAGGCTCCTCCTACTCACCGCGAGATCACCCTAGCCCACCCGAGCTCACCCGAGATCACCGCGAGATCACCCGAGATCACCCGAGAGTAGGCTCCTCCTCCTCACCGCGAGCCAGCCGCTCGTCCAAGAGCGGGCTCGCTCCGACGCCCTCTGCGCCGGGTCGGGGTACGTCGCCACCGCGCGCCGCCGCCTCGCCTCGCTTCTTGCCCGCCGCAATCGACGCCCCGGCCCCATCGATGGCCAAGCCCCTTGCCCCCTCACCGCCGCCTCCCTCGCCCCCGCTCCCCCGCCCGCCACCGCGACCCCCCTTTTGATCAGGTACGTGGGCGCGCTCACAAAGGAGGTGCTCCGCGCTAAGCCGCCGCTCTTATTGCCACGCACGGCGACCGTGGAGACGAGCTTGCGCGGGTTCCGCGTGCCGAGGGGGTGTGTCGTCTACGTCAACAACTGGGCGCTCGCCCACTCGGAGGCGAGAGGAGCCGAGAGGAGCCGAGAGGAGCCGAGAGGCAGCCTAGAGGAGCCGAGAGGAGCCGGGAGGAGCCGAGAGGAGCCGAGAGGAGCCGAGAGGAGCCGAGAGGAGCCGAGAGGAGCCGGGAGGAGCCGAGAGGAGCCGAGAGGAGCCGAGAGGAGCCGAGAGGAGCCGAGAGGAGCCGAGATAGCCGAGAGGAGCCGAGGCGAGCCGAGAGGAGCCGAGAGGAGCCGAGAGGAGGCGAGAGGAGCCGAGAGGAGCCGAGAGGAGCCGAGAGGAGCCGAGATAGCCGAGGCGAGCCGAGGCGAGCCGAGGCGAGCCGAGGCGAGCCGAGGTGGTTGCCCGCTGTCCTCCAGTGCCCTCTCCTCCTCTGTCTCTCCCTCTGCCTCTCCCTCTGCCTCTGCAACGGGCGACGGGCGACCCGGCGGCGGCTCTCTCGCGACCCGGCCGAGCGCGACGCATGAGCCCGACGCGGCTGCGATAGGCGCACTGGCACGAGCCCTCTGCGTTTCGGCCGGAGCGGTGGCTGAGAGAGGAGCGCGGCGCGGCGCGCGGCGCGGCGTCGTGCAAGTTCATCCCCTTCTCGGTCGGCCAGCGGGCGTGCCCTGGCGTGCGGCTCGCCGAGGCGGAGCTGGAGGCGGCCTCACGCGTGCTGCTGCGCTCGCTGCGCTGGCGGCGGGCGGGGCGCCTCCCCGTCGACCTCGGCGAGGAGTACGGGCTCACGCTGGCGCCGGCCCTGAAACAGAGCCTTCGCTTCTCGCGGGTCGCGGGGGAGGCGGCCGGCGGCGGCGGCAGCGGACGGCGCGCGAGGGCCGCCGCGCCGACGATGAAGGTGGGCCGTGGCGGCGAGAGCGACGGGCGGCCTCGCCGCGCCACACGTCGGCAGCAGATCGCTAGTGTGGAGGAGGCGGGCGCGGTGGCGGGCGAGCGGCTGGCTGAAGCGGGCAGCGATCGGCGCGGCGGCTGGCGGGCGAGCAAGGCGAAGGGGAACCGACGCAACCGGCGCTACGAGAATCGGCTGCTACGAGGGGCGGTGGGGGAGTGGACGGGCGGCGAGCCAGATGATGATGCAGATAGCTCTTAGCTTTGGCGCGCAACACCCATCGGGCAAATGTTTGTATTATTACTATTCGACGGGGACGCCACCACCCTCGCCCAGGGATCTACAGTGCTGTCTTAAGGTCCGACGGGTTCGGCACCGGGCCGCACCGCTTGGCAGGCGCCGCCTCGGTATACAAAATGCGCCTGCGCGCTGCGCCGGGCGGACCCTCACAGATCACAGATCAGATCAACGAACTGTTCGCAACTGAAGCGTCCTCATATTAGTGATCGAGACTCCACTGTGGTCAGAGCAACGATCTAGACGTACACACAATGCGCGATCGAGACCGCGATCTACGACGTGCACACAACGCGCGAGAGGTGGCGTGTTAGTCTAAGGCGCCAGAGGCGGATCGGACGCTGGCTCGAGGCTAGGAAATGGGGGCGTCGGAGTCAATCGGAGAGTATGGTACGTGCGGCTTCAGGCAGCGGCACTGAGATTCGCTTCCGCGCTCAGCTTCTTGATAAGCTCCTTGTGTGTGTCATAGTTCTCCACTTCCGAAACGCCCGTCTCGGGGTCAACGTCGGCGGACAGCTTCCTGGCGAGCTTTCCCTCCACATGCGGGCGGTCCTCAATTTCGCTCAGCTTCTTGATGAGCTCCTTGTGTGTCTCAAAGTTCTCCTCTCCCGCACTTTCGCTCAGCTTCTTGATGAGCTCCTTGTGTGTCTCAAAGTTCTCCTCTCCCGCACTTTCGCTCAGCTTCTTGATGAGCTCCTTGTGTGTCTCAAAGTTCTCCTCTTCCTCGACGGACAGCTTCCTGGCGAGCTTTCCCTCCACATGCGGGCGGTCCTCACTTTCGCTCAGCTTCTTGATGAGCTCCTTGTGTGTCTCAAAGTTCTCCTCTCCCGCACTTTCGCTCAGCTTCTTGATGAGCTCCTTGTGTGTCTCATAGTTCTCCTCTTCCGCGGTCGCCATTGCAGTCCTGAGAGCGATCGAGCCGGCTGCGCCGTCGTCAAGACTTCGCCGATCCGATGGACGTCCCGCCCGGGGGTTGCAACTCGCGAGTCGCGCCCGCCGGGAGTGCCAGTGCGTGCCAGTCCCGTGCCAGTGTTGTGCGAGGGAGTTTGGTTGTGAATTCTCTTTCCTCGTGTGTATGCCCTGTGTTCCGCGAGCGTGTGCCCCGTCGTCCATGCTAGGACGTGTGTAACACTGACTGACTGACTTTGCAGCGGAGAGAGAGGGACAGAGCCGTGCGTGTGCTCTCCTCCAGTCCTCCTCCCTCTCAAGTCCACACCCAAAGACATGACCCATCCCGTCTCGAACACTCGGCGCGCACGCCGCCGAGGTCCGCAACGAGCTCGCGAGACAGCGCCTCCACGGACAGGCGCGCATGCACCGTCTCGAGCAGCGCTCGCGGCACCCCGAGCGGACCGCGGTCGCGCAGCAGCTCGGCGACCCCGTGGTCGAGCAGCTCGTGCAGCATCTCCCCCGTGACATTCACGAGCGGAACCGGCCGCAGCGCCGAAGTGAGGATGCCTCCGAGGCGCCGCGCGGAGAGGGACCCCGAGGAGTTGGCGCCGGCGCCGCCCACCGCCTCCTCGATGGCCGACGTGGCGATGAACAACATCCTAGCAAGTTCAGCTGCGGTTGGCCCATGGCCGTGGTAGACAAAGCGCGCAGCGCGTGAGCGGCTCTTGAGCGGCCAGTGCACAGCGGACTCGCGGATTGCGTCGAGCACGGCGGGTGGTGGCGGCCAGCGCGGGTACCTGCGGAAGCGGTGTGGGTTGCAGCCCGACCCCGTCCACGATCGCAGCCGTCCTCCGAGGTACTGCGCCTCTGAGAGGTTGCCCTGCGGCCCTCTCGCCACTGTTGTCAGGGCGTATGCGCGCGCCCGCAGCGCGCTGGCCAGGTCGGCGTCTGGCCAGAGGCACTCGGCCGCGTACCAGTGCGCCACCTCGGGGTTGAGAGGTGTCAATAGCTCCGCGTTCCCGCGCAGGCTCCACGACTCTCTCCCCGTCCGCTGCACGCTCACGTTCCACGAGCCGTCACCGCCTTGGCGCGGCGCCGGATCGAACCCGCGATGCATGTGGTACAGGAGGGGTGGAAAGGCGGGTTTGGTGGAGCCGCCGACGGCGCGGTGCACGTGCGCCCACTCGCCGCCGATCGTCTGGTTGGGCCCGGAGGGCTCGTCGGTGGGCGCTTTGAGGCCGTGTATGGCGACCGATAGGTTCGACGGGGCCGTCCATGCCATGCCGCCGGCGCGGTGTGAGTAGTGGTGGACTTTGGTCGCCGTCGTGTGTGCGACCGTCGCCTCGACGCCGCACATGATGAGCCATTGGCTGAGCTGCGTGTCGCACATGATCGACGCGAAGCTTGTCCCGACGCCTCCATGCGCCCCCGGGCAGAGCGTTCGCCGTCCCTCGCGTCGCGCCTCCCGCTCAACCTCGCGCAAGTAGGCGCACTCCTCGAAGAGCGCCGCCGCGAGGCTGCGGCCAAAGACGCCGAGCGGGCCTGTCGGGAAGGGGCCCAGCGTGCTCACCGGCCTCGCCGGCCCGAGACGTGCTCGCCGCCCCTTTCCAGGCTCCTCGGGCTGCCCTCCTCGAGCCGCCGCCTGCCAGGCACAGTCCCGGCTCACCGCCTGCCACGCCGCAATCTGCTGCGTGGCCGGAATACCGAGCCCGTAGAGGTCGAGGTCGCCAAGAAAGCAGCCCTGCGAGTTGCGCCTGTAGAGGAGAGGGCCGGGAGGGTTGGCAGGGCTTCCGTGAGGGAGGAACGAGAAGGCGGCACCGTTTGGCTTCGCCCCGGCACCGCTTGGAGGTCGAGACGCAGGACTCGCCCCCAGGCATGCGAGGCGTGAGCGCGGTTGGCCGCGTCGGCAGCGCCGCCACGGTCATGTGCCCGTACAACACATTCTCATGCTGCAGCAGGGCGCGCAGCTCCGCCGCGAGCACCTCGAGCTGCACATACGTGTCGTCCTCCGTCTTGCCAATGTACAACGCACCGGGCCAGCGAGAGAGGGCGTAGCGCATCCACGAGTGCAGCTTCTCCGTACACGAGCAACAGTTGAAGACGCCCTCACCGTCCAGACCCTCCAGCTCGACCAGATCGCCAAAGTGAGCCTCCTCCTCACGAAGCGCCTGGTGCTTGACGCGATCAGCCGCGCAGGCAGCGCCGTGACACCGGTCGAGCTGGGGTAGAATGCTGCCCACAACAAAGCGAAATACCGTCTCGTTGCGAGTGACGGTTCTGAGCGTCAGCATTGTCTTGCGCACTTGCCTCCTCCGGCCGGCGGCAAAGGGTGCAGATATCATGCCCATCGCCAGCAGCGGAGAGGGGTCGGCGGCGGGACGGTCGTCAGTGCTCCGAGCTACGGACCGCTCCTTGTGCAGCCCACGCCTGGCGGGCCAGGGAGAGAGGGGGCGGCGAGCCGGCATATACACATTGCGCCGGGTCGCTGACCATATGCTACGGGTCCCAAGTATGGGTTCGGGACGTATTCACACCTGAGGTGTGAACGTGATCCTGGATTTCTCCTTTCAGTGTGTTTCTTTTTCCCAGGGGGAGTGTGCGTACGTCCCAGTATGGATTGGTGGTGCGTGACAATGATTGCAGACCGATTGCAGCATATGTGGTGGAGAATCTGCGCGGGCGGTTAAACTCCTCATCTTTATCGCACGACACGCCCCACCTAAGTGTGTGTGTGTAAACTCACTCACTCACACCCACCTAAGACAAACTGCAGGTAACCTCGAAATCTGCACCTTGGATGGCTGCGCTCCCTGTTTCGCAGCCATCCGTGCTAAGTAACATGGCTGGAAATTTTGATCTCAGTTGGCCAGACGATTGATTGAGGAGAACCGCCTAGGAGGAGTCGCTGAAGGACGGGTAGTCGTCGATCATGCGGGGGGAGGAGGAGTCGGCGAGTAGCGGGGATGAGAAATGCCTGAGAGGGTGGGGAGGGAGGCGTGAGGCGCAAGGTGAGGGGCGTGGGGCGTGGGGCGCGGGGCGTGCGTGGGACGCGAGGCGTGAGGCGCAGGGCGTGGGGCGGGAGGGCGCGGGGGCAAGGAGTTGTGTGTGTGTGTGTGTGTGTGTGTGTCTGTATGGGGTAACCCGCGCACGGGGAAGCTTCACGGGTTCGAGTCGTCAAACTAAGCAGCGGAGGTATGCCGAGGGGGACCGGGAGGCGGTAAGTCGTCATCGCCCGGCGCTGCTTTGCAGCACCATGGCGATGACGCTAAGAGGTTCCTCTTTTCCGCCCCCCCCGCAAGGCGCGCGATACAAATACCAAGAATCGATCGGCATGTATGTGAACACCGTGATCTGTGATCTGTAAGGGTCCGCCCGCAGGCGCATTTTGTGTACCGAGGGCGAGGCGGTGCCCGGTGCCGAACCTGGACCTTAAGACAGCATTGTAGATCCCTGGGCGAGGGTGGTGAACAAACACTCCCTTTGTTCTCTTCTCATAAAATCGGAGGGTCGGCCCACGGGGGGACTTCGTGAACTGAAGCGACCCAACGATTTTATGAGTGGCGAAAGTCCACCCTACCACTCTGTAGCCGAACCCAGTCGCCTTCCGATGATGGTGGAAAGGGCGATGGGTGAAAGGGCGCCGCGCGACGAGGACAGGGGCTCCCGTGTCAGATCTGGCGGCAGCAGCAGCGCACCCTCCCCGGGCATCCTGCTGGCCATCTCGGGTCCCTATGCCGAGCGCAACTTCCAGATTCCGGCCGCGGGCGGCCTCATCGGGCGTTCGCGAAAGTGCACGCTCTCGCTGCTGCACGACTGTGAGGTGAGCCACAACCACGCGCTGCTGGAGGTGGTGCGCGGCCACCTCTGCATCCGCGACGTCGGCTCCACCTTTGGCACCTACCTGAACGACAAGCGCCTCTCAGAGCCCAAGCGCGCCTCCGAGGCGCACAAGCTCAAGCCGTGCGACTGCATCAAGGTGGGGCAGACCTGCCTGCGGTGGAGGCCGGCGCAGGTGCTCCGCTCCTCGTTCGACGTGTCGGTGCCGCGGGAGCCCATGCCGCTCACCGAGGTGGGATCGACTGTGCGCGCGCGCGCCTCCGCCGGCCCTGCGGCACCCGGGCCGACGCAGCTCAACTTTGTGGCGAGGCTGCTGTCGAGCGAGGGGCGGCTGTGAACAGCGTCTCTTCACACCTGTTGCTGTGAACAGGCGAGGCTTCTGTCGAGCGAGGGGCGGGCGGCAGGGCCGGACTCGCTCTCGCGCATGCTGCTCGCCCTCAAGACCTTTGAGGCGCAGCACGTGGATGCGGTCGCGGCGCTCAGAAAGGCGCCGTCAAAGCCCTTGTGTTGCCGCTGAGCTAGTCCCCTCCCCCGGTCGCCTAGCCTCTGCGCTGCCTGGCGAACGCCTGTATGCCATGCGCGCGGACCACGCTTGCGTGGATGCGTGGCTGGCAGGCTGACCCGTGTGCGAGGTCACCCGCGCACGGGGAAGCTTGTCGCCCCACCGCAGCACGCCGCACCGCACCACTCACTTGCACATCACTCACTTGCCGCCGCACGCCTCTGCGCACCGCACGCACGCAGCGCCGGGTGGCCTGGAGCGGGGGGTGCTTGCAGCTGCCCCCGCGTC